TTAAGAAAGAAATCACAAAAAAGTAAATAAAAAGTACTCTTAACTAAGTGATAATAAAAGCTTAAAATATCAGGATCTCTTCGATCAAACAGTACGCAGATAACATTTTTAACTTAAAGTACTTGTATCAGAAAGAAGCTAGAATAACAAATTATTTTCAAATGATGTAGTAGGAAAGAAAAAATAAGAGTAGAAGCAGAAATATATGAAAGAGAGAAGAAATTATATAGCTAAAATTTGGTTAAAAATAAACAAGTCTAATCAAGAAAAAGCAAGAACACAAAATTAATATCAATAGAAAGGAGCTATCAAAATAACCTTACAGATGCTAAAAATATATTATGGTAGTATTACAATTTTATACCAATATATGTGATCATTTACATAACCTGGTCTATATTAGAGAAGAATCTGTATGCTGTTGAGAAGAATGTGTATTCAGTCTTTGATGGATAAGATATTCTATATATGCTGTTAAGCCTAAATTATCAATTGTATTTTTTACTTCTATAACTTTTTAATTTAGTTTTTGTTTGGAGGATCTATCCAGTGGTGATAGAGGCGTGTTAAAGTTACCCAGTATTATCATGTTGTGGTCTATTTGATTCTTGAGTTTGAGAAGGGTTTGTTTGATATACATAGATGCTTTAATTTTGGGGACATAAATATTTACTATTGTTATGTCTTGTTGATGTATAAATTCCCTTAAGTGGTATGAAATGTCCTCTTTGTCCCTTCTGATTAACTTTGACTTAAAATCCCCTTTTTCTGATATGAGAATAGAACTCCTGCTTGTTCCATGATCCATGTGAGCAATATGTTTTTTCCCATCCTTTCACCTTCAGTCTGGGTGTCTTTGCCTATGAGGTCTGTCTTTTGGAGTCAGCATATTGTTGGGTCTTGTTTTTTAATTCAGTTTGCCAGTCTTTGTCTTTTGATTGATGAATTTAGGCCATTAATGCTCAAGGTTATTATTGAGATATGATTTATATTCCTGGTCATTTTGGTTTATTTCTAGTTTTTAATTTGAATTTGTTTCTCCTTTGATCAACTATTCCTTTAGTGTAGTTCCTCTGTTTATTGGTTTTCACTTTTTTAAAAAAAATTTATCTTCATGTACTATTTTGTTGAGATTGTTCTGTAGTGCAGGCTTTCTAGTTGCAAATTCTTTTAACTTTTGTATATCATGGAAGGTTTCTATTTCATCTTCAAATATGAAGCTTCATTTTGCTGGATAATAGGATTCTTGGTTTGCATTCATTTTCTTTAAAAGCTTGGTATATGTTATTCTAGGACCTCCTAGCTTTGAGGGTCTGTGTTGAGAAATCAGCTGAGATCCAGATTGGTTTCCCCCTATGTGTAATCTGATATTTTTCTCTTACAGTCTTTAAAATTCTGTCTTTAATTCTGTATGCTAGGCATTTGCATTATAATGTGTGTTGGTGTGGGTCTGTTGTAACTTGTATATTTGGTGTCCTCTAAGGCTCTTGATTTTCCATTTCATTCTTGAGATTTGGGAAAATTTCTGATATTATTTTATTGAAAAGCTTGTGCATTCCTTTGGTTTGTACCTTTGTACCATCATCTATCCCAGTAAATTTTAAATTTGGTCTTTTCATGTTATTCCATAGTTTTTGGAATTTCTGTTCTTGGTTTCTTAACATATTCTCTCCATGGTCAACTCTATTTTCAAGATTATATATTTTGTCTTTATTGCCTGAAGTTGTCTTCCAAGTGATCTAGTCTGTTGGTGATGTTTTCTATTGAATTTTTAATTCGGCTTATTGTTTCCTTCATTTTGAGGATTTCTGCTTAGTTTTTTTGTTTTTGTTTTTTCTTCAGAATCTCTGCCTCTTTATTGAAGTTATCTTTCACTTCCTGTATTTTCTCTCTCATTTCATTTCTTATACCATCCTTTACTTCCCAGATCAGAGTAATTATGTACATTCTAAACTCCTTCACTGGCATTTCTTCTTTTGTGGTGTCAATGGATTCTGCTATTGGAATGTTGGTTTGTTTGGGACAGTTTGTTCCCTTGCTTTTTGAAATTGTTTATGCATCTACCCATCTAACAGTATGGATCTAAGGCAATAGAGTTTCTACTCTGTGGATTTATAGTGTTCCTGAAGGTTTTCAGTACCTCACTATTTAAGGGGAGACAAATAACAGCAACCAATGCAAACAATATGCAGTATTAAACCAAATTGTTCGTACTATGACATCTACAATGTTAATTATCACAATAAACAGAAATGATATGATCAGTTATTACCTACAATAAAAACAGCAAGTTTGCAACAGGGTTTATAATTTCAAATAGTGGACAGGGAGAGAATAGAAGTGATACAGGAGCTGATGATTAGGAGGGAGGAGAGGATAAAAATAAGTAAAAGATTAAAGGAAGAGTGTAAGACAGAATAATAGAGATTGGCTGTTAACAGAAGAAAAGAGAGAATCAAGGGAAACAGGAGAAAAAAATATATGTATATATAAAGTAAAAATTAAAAAAATTTTTAAAATAAAAATGAAAAACTAACATATACTAATCAAACATCCTAGTACACACACACATACACACAAACAAACAAGCAAACAAACAACAAAAACAAAAAAACTAAACCATGAAAAATAACTGGCTTCATAAATACTAGAAATGGGAAAAAAACAAATATGAATATGTATAAATTTCCATGTACCATTAAGGTCACAATTAAACAGAAAAAGAATAATTTAAAAAAAAAAAGATCTTGATGAAAAGTTAAAGAACTTTCTGTTGGAGTTCAAAATATTCTCAGCTTCTCTTCCCAGCAGTTTTAGATGGTATCTTCTGGAGTGTGATGCTCCACCCTCTGGATTGCTGGAGTAAGGGGGGTAATCTCTCAGGCAGAATTTCTGAGGCAGGGTTTAGGTTAGGATAGGTTCCAAGCTCTTTGCTGAATGCCTGTTGGTCTGGAGATTTTTAAATCAGTGCACCTCCAGCAACCAGTGCTTGCTGGTCCATGCTGAAAGACTGTACCCCAGGGATTCACGTGGTGGGAGACCCAATTCTTAGTCCCTTACGTCACCTTCAGACCTCATGTTTCCTGGTCTTGGCTTCAGTCTTCAAACAATCTCTCCTGCCTCCGCCCTTCTGAGTTCCAGGCCAGATGCATCTATCTCTCCCAGCTGGTTCTGCAAGCAGTTGGAATAGAGGTGGAGAGGTAGAGGCAGGTGGGTTTCAACAACCAGTTAAACCCTGTGTAAACCTTTCCAGGTTTGATATTCTCCTGGTCAAATAAGCACATTCTGTGTCATGCATTGTGTGTTAACCAGGCCTGTATTTCAGGCCAAACTCCGTTTGCCAGGAATCAACCCCATCCAAATTTGGTTTGCCAGGAATCAACCCCATCAGCTGCTGGCCCCCATGCAGCAGCTATGAAATAGTTCCTTCCTTTGTCTTCCTCATGCCTCCTAGAGATATGGCAGCTTCTTTACCCACAAGCAGATATTGTGCAGTACATCTTTCAGGTTTGCCAGGCAATGTCTTTGATCTCTTAACACTTTGTGCCCAGACACTGCTGGGGCCTCCCCAAAATTTGGGTTCCTTTAATTCCTTTGTCCTTCCACTGTGCTCAGAGAGGGACTGCTCTGGCTGGTGCTTCCTGTGGCAGTGATTGTGCCGCTGGGTATTTCTTCCTTATTTTTACATCAACCTCCTGAGTCCCTGTTCTTCTTTTAATGTCCAGTTTTAAATTCCAGTAAAGTTCCCCTACTCTTTTTTTTGTTTACCCACCTTGCTGAGAAGCTGCCTGTCTTTCTTAGTTTCACTCCATGGAGCAGACAGAAAAGTGACCTCCTCTTTTCCTCCATCTTGAAAACCTCCTAGTTGTATAATCTTATTATTTGATAAAGGGCATGACCTTTGAATATGGGACTAAATTTAATTCTACTTAGTCTTTCTTATTAAAAATCTAACATTAAAAAAACTCTTAACATGATAATAGTTTACTTGATAATAGTTGCTAAAAGATAGTAAGTTTAATAAGACAATAGTTTATTTAACTTAATAATAATTTACTTAAGGTGGAGAAACTTGAGGAGAACTTGAGATATGAATACAGTATCTTTTTAGATGGTTATCATTGTTTCCCAATCTTTGTTAGGTATCTAACACATACCTACTTCAATAGAAATTTTTATTAGCAACTCACTTATATAGAATGTGTTTTAAGCATTTAAAAATTGTTCTTTTAGAAATAGAAGCTAAGTTTGTATTACTGATAATACCATATCATTAGCAGATTTGGGAGCAAGCATAATTGACTGGCCCTTACTCTAAGCATACAGCTCAGCTGTTTGGATCAGAAGTGCAAAGTAGTATTGAAGAGTATTAAACTAGCTGTGCACATTTAAAGCTTATCCTGAGCATCCAGTAACACATTTTATAATATTCCATTTATGAATAATGGGATGTTGTTAATCTAGTAAATCACATAGTGGAGGGAATTTAAAAGCATTTATATTGTACTCATTTTCTTCTATATGAAATTTCAATTATTGAACATATCCAGAATCAGCTATATCTTGCCACAAGATTTTATACACTTTGTTTTCCTTAAAACTCAATGCTGGGGCTGGGATTATGGCTCAGTGGTAACTTGCCTACCATGCATGAGGCACTGGGTTTGATCCTCAGCACCACATAAATGTAAAATAAAGATATTGTGTTCACCTAAAACTAAAAAATAACTATTAAACAAAACTCAATGCTGGGGCTGGGGATGTGGCTCAAGTGGTAGCGCACTCGCCTGGCATGTGCGGGGCGCTGGGTTTGATCCTCAGCACCACATAAAAATAAAATAAAGATGTTGTGTCCACCGAAAACTAAAAAATAAATATTAAAAAATAAAAAAAACCCTCAATGCTGGAAAATGTCTTATTGTCTTAAGTCATTCTGGTTACTCCCAAAGAATTTTATGCTAATTTGTGTTTGTTTATTTGTTTGTTTGTTTACATTTCAGTGGTAGGAATGGGATCCTGGTGCTTCCACATGACTCTGCAATATGAAATGCAGGTTAGTAATGACAGAATTGACTAAATGCTTATTTTTCTAAATCTAAAGACACTTCAGATTTGAGAAAAGAGCACATAAATAAAGGAAAATTAAAAGATGGGATTTGTAACTACTGGAGTAAAGAAGTGAATAGTTGAGTTGTTTATAAAGAAAACAAGTGAAATTGGTATCATTTTTTATACCACCTCTTTTCAGGCATTATAATTTTAGAGAAGCATTCTAGAGTTGTGTAGAGACATTTTTAAAAGACATAATCAGTTCACCAAAACAGTGTATTCTTTTTTTAAATTTTTTGTTTGTTTTTTAGTTGTAGTTGGACACAGTACCTTTATTTTATTTTTATGTGATGCTGAGGATAGAACCCAGCGCCCCACATGTGCTAGGCAAGAGCTCTACTGCTGAGCCACAACTCCAGCCCCCAAAACAATATATTCTTATTTTTAGATGCCTGCATTCTTTCATATCTCCAAGGTATCCATGTGTGAATGGTCTCATATCTTTCTAATTGGTAAAATTTTAGAACCATGCAAGGATTTTTAATTCCTATTCTTTATCTAAGGAAGCCATATGTCTAGTGCTCGAGCTTTTAACCACTTGGTTTACCATCATTAACCCAGGAACTTCTAGAATATCACTGTCCAGTAGAAATAGGACCTGAAATTATGATTATATCAGCTGGACATGGTGGAATATGCCTGTTAATTTCAGCAGTTTGGGAAACTGAAGCAGGAGGATTGCAAGTTCGGGGCTATCCTGGGCAACTTGCTGAGACCCTGTCTCAAAGTAAATAAAAAGTGCTCAGTGGTAAAGCACACCTGGATTCAATCCCCAATGCTGAAAGGTAGGAAGACTTTCTAGTAGCCACATTAAAAAAAGTAAGCTATGGGTGCAATTAATATATTAATATTACAAAAGTGTTACTTCGACATATAATCAATATTAAAAAATTTAATAAAGTACTTCACGTTCTGAAATCTGATGTATATTTTATATCTGCAGTATATTTCAGTTCAGATTTGGCTTATTTGACATATTGGAGTGGCTGGTGGCTATCATGTTGGACAATGACATTATACATACACAACAGTCTTATTTATTATTAATATAGTTATTAAATGTATAACAATTCTTAGAATTGATTCTAATATTCAACAAATATTTATATAAGGTGTCATGTTCTATGCAGCACGCTCTGCTTGACTTGGGGAATACACAGATGGACAAGACAGGTCTAATCCTAGTAAAGCATAGAACACTTATTTTTACATTTTCTTGTTGGGAAAACAGTGATGGAATGTAAAAAATAATTTGAAGGAAATGTAAATGATTTGTGGCAACATGGGGGTGCTTGGAAGAATCTATAAAGGTTAAAGACATTAAAACAGACTCTGAAAGAAGTAGTTCAAAATTTTTAGGTGGTAAAAGAATGAAATTACTAGATTTACATTATGATGGAAGCAGATACAGGGACTCATTACAATGTGTGGTGTGTATAGCAATACTTGCAAAGGTAGAATATGAAATATAGGAAAAAATGGTTTGTTAGTTTTTTGTTGCTGTGATGAAAACAACCAATAAGAACAACTTAAAGAAAGAAAAGTTTATTATGGGCTTAGTTTCAAAGATTTCAGTCCATGTAGACTGACTCCATATTTCTGGGACCAAGATGGAGTAGAACATCATGGTGGAAGAGCATGGCAGAGGCAAGCCACTCAGGACATGGAGGCCAGGAAGTAGGCGGTGTAGGTGAAGGAGGCTCTATGCAGTGCTGCAGGGAAGGTGAACCCTTCCAGAGTGTGGCCCTAGTGACATACCTCCTCCAGCTACTTCCCATAGCCCAGAGTTACCACCCAGCACAGTAGTTCCTTCAAATTCGGATGGACTGATTAGAGTGCAGCTTTTATAATGTAATCGTTTCACCTCTAAACATCCCTGCATTGACAAAAGAACTTTTTGGGGACACCTCATATCCATAAAGTAAGAAACCATAAAGTAAGAAATGGTATCATTGATATTCACAATACTTTACAATTGCAATATTCTGCCATACCAGTGAGCCACAGCTAATTAATAACCCTGAAAATAGAACTTTGCATGTTATCTTATTTAAAAGTAATTGGAAGGGTTGGGATTGTGGCTCAGTGGTAGAGTGCTCGCCTAGCATTTGTGAGGCACTTGGTTTGATCCTCAGCACACATAAAAAATAAATAAAATAAAGGTATTGGTCAATCTACAACTAAGAAATTTTTTTAAAAAAAGTAACTGGAATTTTTTTCAGTTCTCAAATAGCCAGGTACTTTTTTTTTATTAAAACCTCAAGACAGTTCTTAGTTACTACTCCTAGTTTACACATTCTAGTACTAGAAGTGAAAGAGACTAACTGATTTGACCAAAATTATCCACAGGTTATAAATTCTAACCCCAAATCAGTTTTTCTGATTTTAAATCCTGAATTTTTATCCCCAGATTAATCTCCCTTATCTTTTGACAGTGTAAGAAAGTTAGGACCTTTCTAGAGACGTTTTGGCAATATTATCAGAAACCCTAAAACTAAGGGAAGAAGGTTCTGGCCCAGACTGAGGTATCAGAGCCTGAGTGGGGTAAGGATGGTTTCCACATAGCGGGGAGGGGTGACCCAGAGTCAAAGCCTGAGAGAGACACAGTGTATTCTCATGAGTTGGGAGTCCACCACCACAGAGCATTGGCCCTTGAATAATGCAAGGCATGTATCCACATAGGGGATAGTGTAGAGTATCAGAGTGTAATCGGAGGGAAAAAGAGTGCTTGAACAGCTGGGCAATGCGTATCAGGGTTTCAGAGACCATAGTGAAAAGGATGTAAAGGCAGAAATGGCAGCTCAGGGTAGAATAAGGTGTCCACCCAAACTAGAGAGATCATTGGGCACATGGTTACAATCTGAGTGGGATAAGGAGGATGCCATGTAGCAGGTACAGCTTTGTGCTGAGTTTCATTGCCCTAGAAGGATGAAGGTGACTTATACACAGCAGGGTAACCTAATGTACGATATGGGAACATGGGCAGAGTGAAGACATTATCTAAATGGGGGTTCATAGCAGCCCAGCACAGGGCTGTTTCCCCTTTGTTTCCTTCTAGAAGTTGCCAGGTTTCTGATGTTCTTGTTTTCTTCCCGAATGTTGGTATTTAAATAATTGGAATTCTCCATCTTTCAATCCACTGTAGCATCTATGGTAGAGGGCTCCCGTGATTCACAGTGAATCCACACTTTAGCTTCTGCCCAAGCCATGCACCAAAGCACCAAGCGGATAAAATTATATTGCTAGAGAAATAACTTTGACTTTGATCTTCCATTATTTCAGTAGTTTATTATTTTAACAAATCTCACTTTTCAAATATGTTGTAAGGATGCTATGAGGGGGCCTGGACACTGAATCTTTATAATATACTTCTTTTTTATTGGTTCTTTATAGGTATACATGACAGTAGAATCTATTTTGACATAATTATACAAGCATGGAATATGTCTTGTTCTAATTCAGACCCCAGTACTTCTCCTTCCCCTCTCCCATATTTCATTTATTAATTAATAATTTTTTTAAAATTTAATTTCTTATGGATATGCATGATGGTAAGATTCACTGTGTTATATTCATGTATATAAATAGGAAAGTTGTCTCAGATTTATTCCACTGTCTTTCCTTTCCCCACCCCTGCTCCCCTTCATTCCCCCTTGTCTACTCCATTGAACTAATCTCTGCCACCCCTTGTTATGGGTTAACTTCTGTATCTCAGAGAAAACATTCAACCTTTGGTTTGGGGGGATTGGCTTATTTCACCTAGCAAGATAGTCTCAAGATCCATCCATTTACAGGTAAATGTCATAAAATCATTCTTCTTTATGGGCTGAGTAATATTCTACTGTGTATATATTCCACATTTTCTTTATCACTCATCTGTTGAATGGCATCTAGGTTGGCTCCATAGCTTAGCTAAATTGTGAATTGTGCTACTATAAACATTGATGTGCTATGTCACTATAGTATGCTAGTCACTATAGTAATTTTAAATCCTTTGGATATACACTGAGTGGGATAATTGGGTAAAATAGTGGTTCCATTCCTAACCACCATTTTTTGAGGAATCTCCATACTGCTTTCCAGAGTGGTTGCACCAATTTGCAGTCCCACAAAACAATGTTTAAGTGTATTCTTTCCTACATCCTTTCCAACATTTATTATTACTTATATTTTTGATCATTGCTCTTCTGACAAGTGCGATGAAATCTCAGTGTAGTTAAATTTCTCAATTGCTAGAAATGTTGAACATTTTTTCATATATTATTTACCAGTTCATATTTCTTCTTTTGAGAAGTATCTGTTTAGTTCCTTTGCCTATTTATTGATTGGAATTTTTTTCTATGTTAAGTTTTTTGAGTTCTTTATATATTCTGGATATTAATGCCTTATCTGACGTGCAGGTGGCAACGATTTTCTCCCATTCTGTAGGTTCTCATTTCAAGCTCTTGATTGATTCCTTTGTTGAGAAGAATCTTTTTAATTTGATGCCATCCCATTTATTGATCTTTTATTTTATTTCTTGGACTTTAGGAGGTTTGCTAAGGAAGTGAGTTTCTGAGCTGATATGTTTGGCCTACATTTTCTTTTAACAGGTGCAGGGTTTCTGGTCTGAAAACTAGGTCTTTCATCCACTTTGAGTTGAGTTTTGTGCAGGGTGAGAGAAGAGGAGTCAAATTTCATTCTTCTACATATGGATTTCCTGTTTTCCCAGCACCATTTACTAAAGAAGCTATTTTTCCTCCAAAGTATGTTTTTGATACCTTTGTCTACTATGAGATAATTATATTTTGTCTCTGTGTCTTCTATTTTATTCCATTGGTCTTTATGCCTCTTTTAGTGCCAATACCATGCTATTTTTGTTACTATATCTTTGTTGTATAATTTAAGGTCTGGTATTGTGATGCCTCCTTTTTCACATTTCTAACCAAGAATTGCTTTAGCTAT